ATTAGGTTAGTCTTGAGATTATTAGATATAAATTAAGATTATTTGGTAATAATAATATATATGTAATAGAAAATTATAAATTTGACAAAAATACACACAAATGACAAAACTATTGAATTTTACATATTTGGATGAATTTTCAAAAAAATTCATTATTTTTATATATTTTTTCGCCGGTCCGGTTTGGTTTCAAACTGCAATTAAAATTCTCAAACCTAAACCAAACCGTTTTTGGTTCAAAACCATTTCGTTGACGGAACCACGTGGCACCAAACCGACGGTTTTTAAAATGCGGTTTCAGTTCGATTTTCCGTTTTGGCTGTTTTTGCTTACAGCCCTACTTGGAACTCGCCCACACGCCTAAAAAGCAGCCTGCTAGAGAGGGTTCTTAGAATTATTCTAGACAACCCGCATGGATGACCGCGGGGATGATCGCGCCCTCACAACCGAGGCGAGGGTCCCACCAGAATAAAATAATCCCGACCCCCCATGTGTGTGTGCGCGGTCACCGGCGCGGTCATTCCCGCGGTTCCTGTAGCATGGCTCGGGTTCTTAACGAGTTGAGATTTGCCGACCCAATACATTTTTGACACTTCATCACGTCTTTTCTTCTTAACAAATGGGAAGACATGAATACACTTTTGTCACCACGGACATTACACCTTGGCACATTCATATTTGGTGGACAGCAAATTGTGGAAAACAGATCTCAAATCTGGTTCTTAAAGTGCTTAGCAGCCCACAAGACAAGCCTTTTACTAATGTTCCATACAAAACTATAATTTCAAGTGGCATAAAGTGAAAAGAAGAAACATATCAAGAAATTGCATTCTCACCGATTAGCTGAAGTGTAAGCAAAATCAGTCCATTTCACACCATCCCAAAAGACAACCCTCCCATCAGCCACCCCGGTGTATGGGCCGCGGCCTGTCCGGTCAAACACCATGCTCTCCGGCCCTTGAACCTGGTTCAAGAACTTGATTTCAGATTTTTGTAGCAAATTTTCAGGGTCTTTTTCAAGAGGGATTTCAGACCACGCCGGCATTTCGACCTTAAACGCCTCAAAGTCTGGGAATTCAGATATCGCACTGTGCTTGTACGGGTCCACAGCACAGTAAATCGCCACCAAAACGAACGCGCCGGTGATTACTCCGGCAAGTTTCATTGCAACACTATTGTGTTACTATTCCCACTTTTGAACTACGAATTTAATGATTTTATAGACTTACCCTCGTTAAATTCCGACTGAATTTGCATTTGTTACCTAACTACCACGCACCTACTTAGAAATTCTTCTATTTATTTGGTGTGAATCTTTCTATGAAGAGAGAACTACCAGTTGCCTACTATAGGCAGAGAGAGATGGACATAGAGAGAGAGAACCAAGAATTTGATCAACGGCTCAAGGGAGTGACAGGAGGCAGGCCACGCAGTCCTTTTGGGCGGATCTTCCAAGAATAGAAACTGTATGCATGGAGCCAATGAATATACATATATGTATATATGAAAATATTTGTTTAATTTTCACGTAGTGTGTTTAAAGCGTGTTTGGTTTGTATTGAGATAATAGCGACTTACATAAAAGATTTGAGCCATGAATTTTTTGTTCAATCATGTTGTGTACTCTTTGAATATTATCGAGTTGACTCGAGAACGAATTGAATGGTTCGTTTAAGTCGACATACTATGAAAACTTGAAGTTTCATTTTAAATTTTCTAACTAATTCTGTTGTATATTACTATTGATCCATTCTTTGATTATAACGAGAATGGGAGTGAAAACATCGTTATAAATAGTGTGATAAAAATTTTCCACTAATGGTGAATTTTATTGAGTACTAAAGAGAGAAGAAAAATTGGCCCAACATAGTGTCGATTATTCTATTCGGTCACTTTTCGAGAAAATTTAGTTATAAAGAACAAAAAAAAAAAACAGTCCAACATAGTATTGACTTACTAGTGGATCACTTTCCATATATTACAAAGATGTTTAGTTACAACTAGAACAGTTGTTAGATTAATAAAATTCTATTCAAAAAAGCTCAAATATGCTATATTTTATTTTCAAATCATTTTCAAAAAGTTTCAAGGCTGTGTTTGGTAAAAATTTTAAGCATAATTCAGACCGTTGTATGCGCTATTTAGCCGAAATGTTTGATTGTGTTGTCTCATGGTCGGTCCCAAGGTGGGAAAAAATCAGTACACAAATTGATTTTTTGGTTTAAAAAATTGTCACCAGACAAGTCAAAATTGATTACTTTCAATCACTTTTCCAACAAACAATACATCCATATAATTAAAATAAGCTGACTTAGCTTGTTTGATCATGGTTGGATCTTCGCAACTGCAGTAGTCTTTAAAATCAACTTCCAAAGAAGATACCACCATTAATTATAAACTCTCAAATTAAGCCCTCATTTGAGAACCATTATTTGGGTAAAATGAAATTTTGAATAGTGATTTTTTGGAGAATGTGATTAAAAAATACAAAACGTTTTGAATTTACATACGAAATATTTTATTGTGTAAATGTGTAATTGAAAATGAATATACAGAAGAAAAAAAGTTCTGAAATAATGATTGTCAAACAAGGGCTAAAGATCAATCCTTCTTATCCAAATTTGTTTCCAATTTGAATACTAAAAGCCCAAATTAAGTTTGGCTCAAACTTAAATCAGACTTTGAAACTCAAACAAGCTAAAGTCGATGAAACTTACGCAAAGATGGACATAACTAACGGAATAAAGTACACTGCCAAGATACTAATCAAGTTATAGTATCCGAAAAGAATAAACAAAACCTTAAAAGTAAGATTATATTAGATAGCATTTCAGTACTAGTAGCCTAACTAGTAACAGATTGGCCTGTTGAGCACAAACTCGAGAGAAATTTCGATGCTATCCTGATTGGTTTGATCAATAATGGCGGGAATCAGTGTCATAAATCCGGCCTCCTGGGTATTGAACTTTAGGCTCAAATCCCTGATCCCTAGCACTGCCTGAAAACCGACTTCGTTCCCTGTAAGAATCATATTGATCAGCATTGTAAGCTCGTTGTGGATCCCCTGCTGGAGAAGTTCTAACACTGTACCCATGAGGATCACTAGTGCCCATGTGACTGTTCGGATATTGGTCCATTGCTGCCTGCTGGTATTGCTGTTGCCTTGCACGGGACTCCCTCCGAAGAACCTCGTTCCTTCGAGTGGCATGTCGAGCTCGAAGTGCAGCTAGCTGCTCTTGATATTGTATGTTGATTGTGTTTATTCTCTGTTCCACACCATATACAAATTGATCAAAAAGAAAAAACAGAAAAAAGAAAACCATGCACAAATTGTTCAGGCACATCATAAATTGAAAAAGCACAACTAAATTAGATAGAGAGGCAACTCCTATCGCATCTGAGCAAAAGAACAATGCCTAGTGTTCGATAAAGTTTGTTTTAATGTCTTCTCCAGTGCAAAAGCACATCTTTTGTTCACAGTTCCTTTAAATAGTCTAATCATAACAGGAAGGTTAAACATACTGGTTACACTGATTATTTAGTTTCATTTTGTTTTGCTACAATTTGGTCACTCCATCCATGCTTGCTAGTTTGCAAAAGGAAAAGATGATGTGTCAGCCTAGCTATTTGCCAGTAGGCTGACAACTGAACAGCTATGTCAACTTTTAAAAGTTAGTCAAACTAATGGGTATGGACGTTGTAACAAAGTGTAAGTTCCTTGACCGAATTGAAATAAAACAAAGAATGGTGACCAAAACGAAGTTTCCCTTAAAAGTTCGATCATAATTTTTGTTCACAAACTACTGCCATATCAATAGAGTAAGCCTAAATTCGACATCGATTATGTGGTGAAAATAAAAATTCTGTTGTTTGCACAAACAGATCAGCTGCATACAAGCAGCTTTAATGCATACAAACTCCGCAATAGGAACAGAAGTGAAGCCAGGACTTTGCTTGGAGGTCTAACCACGTATACTTGAATTTAACTTGAATTTTTTTGCTTATCTACTGACCATTTTTGTTCAACTCCAAACTCGTAAATTAATGTGAACATGGTTCCTCTATTTGAAAATATTACAAATGTACCAAAAGTTTAAACTACCTTGAACAAGTCAATAAACCAAATTAATATTGCGATTTGTAGGTTAAATAGTCAGTTGATAAATAAATAAATAAAGCTTGCTTTAAGTTTAACTAGTGACAAATATCATCATGACATGGCCAGAAGAATCAGATTTTGAACAATTTAATTTTTAATGCACCATGTACCAACATGGCGTCCTCCACGACTTTGGGGTATTGTATCCTTAAAAAGAATGTATTTGATCTATATTTTACCATAAAGTATCCATTATTTCCTGCTATGTTATTTACCTGAATCAGCATTTCTAGAAGAAAATGTGTAAGATCTGATTTTATAGTCCTTGTCAACACAATTGGATAATTGAGTAAATTGGAATCCAGATTGTGTATACAACCACAATTGATTTAGAAATTATAATGTAGGTGAATGTCTAAAACCAAACCGTAAAGGGTGGTATATCAAGACCAAACCATTAGGCACATTAGTTATCAGGTCTCACAAATCACAATACTTGTTATCCTTTTTTTAATTAATCCCCACTTGTCCACAGTTATATTAGCTAATTTAGTCGCATATAAAAGATAAAAAGAGATACTTGGTTCTCATGGCAAAACATGATATCAAGTGACACAAAGTTAAAAGATGGGTGAATATTTTTTTCACACTATTCCTAACGTATTAATTCATATAAAATTGTGACATGCTAACAAGATCCAAAGCACAAAGGCCTTCATTTAAATAAAAATATTCCGAAAAATGAATTTTTAAGTGCAAATAACATGATACAAAATTCCTAAGGAAAATGGTCACTACTTAAAAAGTATTTTATTTAGTTTTACCCGTGTAAAATTATAAATTTGTATTCCTATTAAAAAGCGCTCACAAAGAATGACCATAAAAAATCAACTATGCACCTGTGGAAAATATTCAATTGAATCCAACATCTTTATCTAAACAAGCTAAGTACATTTGTTGACCATTACCTTTTATTTTCCATCTACCCCGTATACGGAAATAATGACAACAGAAAGCAACAGAGAAGGATTTAGATGTTATAGCCTTTTAGCAACAACAAAACATACTTTCTTGGATAATTAGCTGCATAATAAAACCATTTCAACTCAAAATTAAAAAGAAAGAGTATAAAGATGAACAAACCTCCTGATGCCTAGCATTTTCGACATCCTCTGCATCAGTTTGTTCCTTACTCAGTTTCATGATGTCATCAAGGAATCTCTGCTCAAGACCTTCAAAAGTCTGTGATATGCGATTATCTTCATAACCTATGTCCATATCCTCTTTGCGAGGCTGATGTCTGGGATCACTACTTTGTTTTTCTAATGGCATCTGAGGTTCTGGCCTCTGATCTTGGTAATAGGATCTAGGTGCTTGATATCCTTGACCTATAACACAAAATCTTCAAGTTAACACCCAACCGAGAGAGAGAGAGAGCGAGCGAGAGAGAGAGAGAGAGTATTTCCGTCGCTATTTTCAGGGGGATCGGGTGGTCATGCAGTGGGAGGGTCCTTGAGGGATGGGGGACAAAATAATGATTCATGTATCCTGCTAGATTCCAGAAATAAACCCTCCTGAGCTTACCTTTTCAAACATTCAAAAACACGACACTTTTGTCAAGTTTGGTAACTGAAAAAATATGGTATGTTTGGCTAAGCTCAAAAGTAACTAAACGCCAAACTTTTAAAAAATATTTTTGTTTCCAAACATGTTTGGGGATATGTAACAGTTGCCCGGATCAAGGACATGGTGGTAGGAAGTTAAAAGCAGGATCCCTTCTAAAAATATTTAAATAAGTTGCCTAAGATACATTAGATGTTTTAAAGATAATCTATTGAAAATACAATCAAAATAACTTCATCTTACACGAAGTTTATAAAATCTTGAGATCATGCAATTCCAACAGGCAATAAGAATAAAAACGTTTACTTATCTACAGACAAGCAATGAGAACAGCTGTCAACAAGAATAAGGCTTGTACAATATGGTTCATTTGCTATGTTGGCCCCTTAAACACAAAACATCCTATGTTAATCACTCAAAGCACTTTATAAAGAATAATAGAGCAGAAACTGAGCACAAGTCCATTTGAATTTAAATTTACTCATCAATATAATCTGCATTTTGGACTCCTCCAAGCTTTGAATGGATTGATTTATAGCCAAACTTGTGAAAGCAAATTTAAGGTGCAGCTCTATAATGACATTTGGAGTCAGGCTAATTTATCCTGAATGTTAGGCAGATATGTAATATTGCCACATTATGCAATTGTTACACCAGAAGTTAAAGGTTCTACATGAGCTCCAGTTCTGGATTGTGGGTAAGGCTGCTAGGAAATGGCTCCAGATGTAGACAGGTGTAAAGCTGCATGGAAATTCAAACAGCCCCATTCCTTGTCTTTGGAAGAATGCAGGCTTTAAAGGTCACTTCCAATCTATGGTCCCTTCAAATGAAGGGTAAGGAAAGTACTAAGGACTCGGAGATTTCTAGCCATGTGTTGTGAGGCTTCAAGAAGCCAATGAAGAGAATCTCAAATAGCTCCTGGGTGAGATTACACCTACCCCAAGCCACTTCAACTGGCAAACAGCTGGCTCATCCCCTAGTTAAAATTGATAAATTGAAGTCCTAATCTTGGGATGACCAAAAGTTCTACCAGAAATGATCTAAAAGTGACTGGATGTTCTGCAATTCTTAGTGCACTAAGAAACAAATGCAACATCCAACTATGAATAATATGAGAAAAAATAATTATCATAACCAATTAATTCTTTTCAGCAGAATTAAAAGTACACTTTCGCTTTCGCTTCCTCTTCTTACAAGTTAAATCCTGTGCTCGTTGGACAACAAGGACTCTGGAAGGGGAGAAAAAAAAAGGAGCCTTAACAACCCCCCAAACCCTCGAGCAAAATACTGATTCATGCATTTTGCGGACGAACAAGTAATAAAAATGCTGAGTTTAACGTACATGAATTATCCACAAAAGAACCGAAACTAGTACTCTTACCAAATAACTTCAAACATGTGGTATATTACGATTTAAAAAAAAATTTGAATGAAAACGTTAAAAACATTAATCTTGGGCACTTAATACTCATGATGCCTTGCACATAATAATATCTCCACAAAAACATCTAGAAAGTAGAAATCTTTTATCCTATCAATATTTGTAATTCTTTTCTTTTTCTTAGAACTAGCAAGCACGGAGAAAATTAACAAAAAAAAAGCAAATTATACCATAGGCAGGCGACAGACTTGACAATATTCGAATACTTTAATCCAAAGATAAAAGCTGAAAGAAGTAAAATAGAAATTTTACCTTCGTCCAATGATGCATGGGGTGACATGGAATTCATAGGCAATTTATTGTGACCGCCATCTCTCTCCCATCGCCATTGGTTATGATGATGATTAGGGTCCTTCTCCTGCTGCTCTTGGTGGCGTCCTTGGTAATATCCAGACCTGTTTTGCTGCTGCTGCTGATTCATTTGAGCTGCGGCGCTACCGTATGCGCCGCGACCGCCGCCTGAATCACCCCTGTACCTTCTCATTTTTCGAAAGTAATTGTCAGTGAATTTATCTGCTGTGGAGGATTTGGGGGAATTGGGAAATTGATGTGTGTATTTATATACCAATTCAATGTACAAGCGTTGAAGCGATGAGTACTTATCTTTGCATAATAAATTGACATTTCATGACACTTCATTTAAAGTTAATTCTGAAAATGGAAAGTAAAGTAATCATTCTCAATTTGCAAATTTTTGGATGAAATTAAAATTGATGAAAAACATTCATCTATGTTTAGCTAAGTTTATAAACCACGATTAAACCATTATTTATTTATACATTTCATAAGATACACTAGGAAAATAAAGTTAAAACAAAATACATTGAGCCTCCGTTTGGTGCACATTTTTGGAAAAAGAATGCATTTTTACTGTTGATGTGATGGGGAATATGTGGTTGAAAAAGAAGGAAAAGTTATTGATGTGATGGAAAATATTATTTTATTGAAGAATGTGTGGTCAAAAATAAGTAGAAGAATGAGAATGAAAAATCCTCCGTTTGGTGCACATTTTTGGAAAAAGAATGCATTTTTACTGTTGATGTGATGTGAAATATGTGGTTGAAAAAGAAGGAAAAATTATTGATGTGATGAAAAATATTATTTTATTGAAGAATGTGTAGTTAAAAATGAGCAGAAGAATGACAATGAAAAAAATAATGTGGCTCAAACAAGACATGAGTATGAAACCGAATTGTGTTGTAATCAATTGACCTAGTCATAAGACGCATGCTACAACATCGTGCTTGCAATTGTCCTCCTTTCAATCGATGTGCTAAAAATTTGACCGAACATACCCCTAATGCAAATGATGTGGGATGAAGGATGCCCACAACGAAATCGCGTTACGTGTCGATCAATTAGCTAAGCATAATGTGCACACTGCAACAGAGTGCTCGTTATTGCCAATTGCCCTACATTGAGCTATTACCCACCTATCATTTTATCTATTTTATAACTCAAATTATTTACAAACACTTGCCAAACAAGTTTTATCAGTGTAACCACAAAATTTTCTTCTATATTTTAGAATTGAAATCGGTCTTAGTATTCGCTCCACGTCAGCTCAACCTCTTAGGTAATATGGAGCTTGTCCTTGTTAGGTAAGCTTTACTTCAAGCCATTAGTTGCCTGCCTGATTAGCTTTACCAAGGTTCACCCTCTCCAGGTTGATCCTTCACATGGCTAGCGTATTCTTGAGCTCGGGTTAAAAGATTTTTGTCCGAAATGAGATCTTTGACAAACAAACATTCACATAACTCATCACTCGAGGTCAGGGTCACTCCCACGGAAGAACCACGAGGTTGGACCATCACGGCCCAAAATAGCCTGAATCGTACTTAGCATGTGCCAAGTGTGGATCCAACACTGCTGAACTAGTCCATTTGAATATCAATCTAGAGACGCGCACACCAATGGTGTGCATAAATACCGTGCCTATTGCGAAAACCTGGTCTAACACGCAGGTAAATATTTAGAAGTAGAAAAATGAAGACAATGGACTTAAATCAGATAATCATGCACACAAGAAGCCACCAATACGATGATCAAATCCACTCTAGTATCCAAATTTCAAATTCGTAACAATTTTCGTGTATCTGTACACGAAATTTGTTGTACACGATAAAGCAACACGTGTGTACAGGAGATAACTAATGACACCAGCTACTAATCCTAATACAAAATGGCTTCTCATCTTTTCACAGAGGTGGTATCAAATAGAGAAGAAACAAAAATTACACATAGCAACCCTCTATTATACACACATGCAAGCAGATTTCAACATCATAGATCCCACCAAGCACTATACAGACCAGACCTCGAGTCCTCTTAAAACATAAATAAAAATAATATACCAACCTGAGAAACGAAAAAAGAAATTATGTCACAAGAAATACCCACACGCCTATGCGGGGAAGAAATTATGAAAAACTGCAACTTCTGTCTGAAGCTCATGCAAATGGTACAACTTTTACTATCCCCGCCAAACAGCTTTCAGCACATCAAATGAAGAGGGCAACTCACTGCATGCAAAATGGTGCTCGGACGAAGTTGTGTACTCTTTTAAAGGCCAATCAATAATGTGAACGATAGCACGAGTTCAAAGCCTTGCTGTTTCCATAAGGAATACAAACTGGAGAATCCTCCATGCGGAGTCTTGCTATGTACAAATCACTGCGAATTTCAGGCGTTAGAAAGAGCCTCGAAGAAGTGTAAAACTCGTGAGCATGTTTGGCTAAGCTTAAAAGGTTCTCTTGCAAGTAAATAAGTCAATTTTAAAATAATTAGTTCGTTTTAATTGATCAAAAGTGAAAATAGGTTACCGATTTTGATAAGAGTTAGTTTCAAAATAAACAACTTTTTTACTTAAAAAAGTAAGAAAAGGTAATTTATCCATGCACGGTTGGAAACAAAAAGTTAAACTTTAACTAATTTTTATGCTTAGCTAAACATACTCTGTATGTGGAAGCATAATCTAAATCATAACAAGAGAACCTCGGTCATTAGCAACTTGAGGACGTCCTCTGGTTGGTGTAGGTGGTCTGTTAGCATTGAGTTCCTAATTTTACAAGAAAAAGTAAAAATAGAAAAGGCAAGATAAGTATCAGCATAATGTGAGAAGACATTTGTTGGATAGCAGAGAACATCAGCAAATGAAAGATGGAGATTGCAGTAGCACCTGCATCCAAGTGTCTTCTATATGGCGTTCAGGAGACGTTTCTGGAGATGAAATTGCGGGAGGCAGTGGATGAATTAGTTTTGGCACAACCACTAAATCTCGACCCAAAACCAAGATAGCGCCAGCATTATTTGCAGTACCTGAACGATTTAAAATAAGAAAATTGAAGAGAATTCAAAATGAAAGCAAAATTTTGAATAGTAGAATATAAGTCGACCAATATTTAGTCAAATTAGGTAATACCACAGTAGTTTGTGGCTGAAAAGAGAGTAATCAGATGTCCCTGAGCAAATCTTTCAAATCCATCCATCACACATTCATGTGCCCGAACGATCAATTGAAGATCATTGTTATTACAGAACTCCATTACACGGTCAGGCTGCAAAGATAGAAACTTAGATGAGCCATACTGCACGACTGAGAGAGAATTAACAAGAACTTAAATAAATTCTCCATCTGTAGCACAGAATTGTCAGTCCTAATTTATTGACCTTGAAGCTTCGCCAAAGAAGTAAGCAAGAAATTCATAGGAGGAGGAAATGGAATCCTACCACAATTGGAAGATTTAAATAGGCATAATAGCCGCCCAGTCTACCCGCTATTGGAATAGGCCACAAGTATAAACTTAGATGAGCCATACTGCACAACTGATAGAGAATTAACAAGAACTCAAACAAATTCTCCATCTATTGTACAGACTCGTCCAATTATAATTATAAACATAACATTGATTTGGATATAAGACGTGGAATAAGGGTAAAATAAACCAACTCATATTCTTCATTTTATAACCTCAATCTCTTCACAATTAACCTCACTGGAATAAGGGTAAACTAAAACAACCCAACAGAAACAGCTAGCCAGGACAGACTCCACAAATCCTTTGTGAACCTGCTAAATAATATAACTTTATCACCGACTCTCAGAATAATATCTTTAACCATAACTACTCAGAGGCTTCTTCAGTCCACTGGAACCCAAATTAAAGAAAAAATAAAGTTCTATAAGATGACAGGCCTTAGAAATTCACAAGGCATGCATTATGTGAATTTGCATTAGCTCTTTCAATTGCTTCCTGATTGTTGTTCAAGTTGCAAAATTTTTAGCTGCTCCTAGACTTTGGCAAGTGATCACCAATTTTTTAAATCAAAAAGAAAAAACAATTAAAGCTAGGACGTAGAATTGTTCTTGACTAAAACAAGCACAACCCTTCAGCAACAAGAGCACACCCTATTTGCAGACTAAGAAAGTGAAATTTGTACCTAATTAAAATGAACATTAGTAACATTAACCCCTACATCCCTCAAAACGCATGCATGTGCGCATAGAAAACTAAGGATTAAAAAAATCAATTTAATTTCAACAAATCAATGGGCCAAACAATAGAACAGTCATCATCCTAAAGAGAGAATCAAAACCGAAGAAGTTGAAAACAGATTATGAGAGAAGTGCCCACCCCAAAGGTAACCAAGCCAGGACCCCTTGCATTTGGTCGTAATCCTTCTACACTGTCGTTTTCTGTGGGATCAGACCTACAATGAAATATTCAAGTGTAAGAACAGAAATGGGAAAATTAGAAGAAGACAGAAAATAAAGAGAGAACAGACATGCACTAACCACAACAAGTCCATAAGAACAATTGATCCTGCTTCCATAGTAATGGGACGCTGAATATTCTCAATTTGTTCTACATGGTTGATTGATCTTCCAATACCTCCATGCATACAGATAATTTTTTTCTCTATCAATGCTGCCAGAGGAAGCCAGTTGAACAATCTGTTTACACGATGCCATGCCCAGATTCCGTCTCTCTCACCCTATTCAAGGCATCATTATAAGGTCCCTACATTTTTTTCAGAATAGAAAAGCACTAGTAAAACCGATGAGAATTTACCATGCGTTCAATGCACTCAATTCGAAAGCCAAAAAGAGCATTGATGTCTGCAGCTTCATGATTACCACGAATTAAATGTATTTGGTGAGGATGCTCAACCTACACAAGCATTTATTTGGATGAAGATGCATTAGATCACTTCAGAATGAATGAAGGGAAAAGAAATGATAAGACTGTGCTGACAGACAGGAGTACCTTCATGGCTAGTAGAAGAGTTATGGTTTCCAAGCTGTGCTGGCCACGATCAACATAATCCCCCAAGAACAGATAATCAATATACCTGATAGTTATGTACAAAATTAGCATCACATTGCAGGTGAAGAGACTTTAAAATCAACGTAGTTCAATTAAAACAATAACATAGTTAAAGTCAGTCTAAGCAACTTGTGTAAATCAATAAAAAGACGGGCAA